GCATCACCCCCACACTCACTCACTCACTGTAACACATTGCGGCAGATACACGTATCATGTACGTGCAAGTGGTACTGCATGCACGCATGGTTGCATGCACGCATGGTTGCATGCACGCATGGTCGCATGCACGCATGGTCGCATGCACGCATGGTCGCATGCACGCATGGTCGCATGCACGCATGGTCGCATGTACGCATGGTCGCACGCACGCAACCACGCTCGCAAAATTCACACGACCTCTTCCCCATGCACTCTCTCACCTGCACCTCCAGGTCAACTGCAGCAGGTCTGGGTCCAAACACGTACTGCACGCGCGGCCTGCCACTGCACCATGTGTGATAAGTCGAGTTTTGAGTCGACTCAAAGCTCGACTTATCACACACGGTTAACAGCAGCAGGTCCGGGTCCAAACACGTACTGCACGCCCGGCCTGCTGCCACCGCACCACTCCTTCGGCACAGCCCTGCCCCCCATGTGCGCCATCACTGCCCCCCATGTGCGCCATCACTGCCCCCCATGTGCGCCATCACTGCCCCGGCCACCGAATACCCCACCGCCCACCCGCCCCCCAAGCGCGCCCTCTCACCTGCACCTCCAGGTCAACCGCAGCGGGTCCCGGCCCAAACACATACTGCACGTCTGTCATGCCGCCCCGCCACTCCTCCGGCACCGAACTCCCCCCCATGTGCGCCATCACCGCCCCGGCCACCGAATACCCCACCGGCAGCACCGGGATGCGTGGCAGGCGCTTGGCTGTTTCCTTGTCGCTTAACCGTTCCCCTCCAGGGTGGGACGGCCAACCAGGGGTGGCAGGGTCGCCCTTGCCTGGGAAAACCACGGGCAGGAGAGGAGAGGGATGAGTCCGCATGGTCCGCATGGTCCGCATGGTCCGCATAGTCGCATGGCGCATAGTGGTGCATGTATGAAGACCATTGCATCATCGCATCAGCATGGAGGTAGGTATTATTCTAGATGGTGCCTCTCTGGGCGCCAGTCACACATGGCCATTGCTCCTGGGCTTACACGCGCCGTGCACCGGTGCCTTACCTGTGTAGATGGTGCCTCGCTGAGCGCCAGTAGCAGGCAGCCATTGCTGCTGCGGGTACACATGCTCCGCATCTGTGCCCTCTGGTGCGTAATCCGCTGGGTCAGAGTACAGCAGCACTGCTGCCACGCCGAACCTCTCTGCATTCCGAACCTGACGAACAGGTTCGGTACAAAAGGATGGACGTTCGTTATTTGGGGGGAAAGCGCCGGAGGGAGGGCGGAAATTTGGGTTGGAAAGGGGACCGTTTTCACATGGAAGAGTCTGGCTTGCTGACAGAATACGAACTGTATGTGCTCACCTTATCCCCTCTAAAAGTCTTTCCATAACGAATCAGCGCCACTGCGCCTTTCACCTGCTCCTCCCCAATCGCCGCCACCAGCTCTTCAAAATCTTCCATGCGCCCATAATTCGCATATACCACCGCCGCTCCTTCTGCTTTTCCCGCTCCTTCCCCCTCCGCCTCCTCCTCTCCCGCCCCCTTTCCGCTCACCCTCCCGCTGGCCTTCCCGCCGACCCTCCCGCTACCGGAATACGCGTTAAAAGGATCAGTGGCGGCGCGCGAGGCGCTAAACGGGTCGCCGTGGACGGGTTCCTCGCGCAGCGAGAAGTTGCGCGCGACGGGGCGCACGAGGCGGAGCGACTGGCGCAGCGGGTAGGAGAGCAGCACGGGGTAGTCCGCGTAGTGCGCGCGCAGCCCGTACGACTGAAGTGTGATGCGGGGAAGTGTGTGTGGGGAGGGAGAGAGGGGGCATGGGGGAAAGGGAGGGGGGGGAAGAGATGGTTGGGAAGGTGAGATGGACGAAAAGAGTTGATGGGATGTGAAATCCTATGGTGATGCGGGCACGTGACACGATGAGACTGAATGAAAATTTTACCCATAAAGTCTCGAATTCACACCTCGAATTTCTCCTTGACGTAACGGGCAGTTTCGAAGTTTTCGGGGGTGCCTGCGATGTGCGGCTTGGCGGTGAGCTCCCGAAGGTGCAACGCGAGGCTCTCATTGGACACGAGCGAAAAGAGCTTCGGCAGAAACCCGCAGCTCAACCCGTCCTCATCGCGACCGTCCACCGACGAACCGGCGTCGCGAGATTCGTAAGCGAGGCGCGAGAAGAAAAGAAAGGTGAATAACCCCAAGGTCAGCGCTAGCGGAACGTATGCGAAGGCTGTTCGCGGTCTGGCTGCGGTCTGCGGAAGCAACGATGAGCGATCCATAACGGCGTGACTACGACGCACGCAGGAACGGCGACAAGCGCTCTGAAATGAGAACGGAAGCGTGCAAATGGAAGAGTTGGGAAGAGGTAAGGGGGAATACAAGGCAAAGGAGCTCCTAGAATCTTCCGCCTTCGCTATTTCTTGGATTTGGAGGGTGGGCCAGTGAAGTGAATCCAGCAGACGAAGAATTCGGTTTGGTTTGCTGCTGCGAATGATTGAAGCCAAACGAAGGGGCATGGTTGTGTTGGCGATGTGACAGATGCTTTCGTGAGTACAATATATGGCTGCGAAATCCATAGTAACCGTGCTATGTTGCCGCGCGAAAGGTGGATCTCCACGCATCTCGCAAAATCGCTTTGGTGCATGCCATGCTGGAGGATGAATTGCGGCGCGCGCTCCACGTGGGCACGTGGGCTACCACGTGGTCTCCCTTGTTGTGAAGGTGGTGAAGAATGGTGAAGGACGAGAACCATGAAAAACACTTCGGTACAGCATATACAAACCATCCAGATCTCACTACCAAAATTGTATGTAGCTCCATACCGCGTATATCCGTAAGTTCCGCCGAATTACACCCTTCCTGTGCTAAGGCAACATTCCAACAGCTAATTTGGTTGCCTGATTTAGGAACCGACTCCGCAACAGCTTCTCATTGTCCACGTGTGTCACCATCATGTCACTTGGCCTACAAACAGCCCCACTGCCGCCGTTCTTAAAATATGAGGGACAACCACAGCAAGTGCCAGACAGTCAAGGCACGGCGTTACCTGCGCTAGAGCAGCTTCCGCCTTTGCCGACTCCCTGTACGCGATTGGAAGTAGACCTTTATCGCCTGTTGCGATGCTGCGAGCGCATCGCACGGAGCCAATCAGCAGCCGAGCTGCAACGAGATTTCAAGTTCCACAACGTGGGTGAGATTGCGAGCGAGCCGTTGATTCATTTCACAGCTCTTCCGTTCACCGATATGTGCTCGTCACAGCTCCTTCGGTCACGGTTTTGTTTTTTTTTAGGCGACTTAAAAATCTTTCGGTCTAGAGTGGTCGATCACACACAGATGCCTTTCAGAATGCAGGCTGATTGCCTCGATTGCGTCCGGCTTTGCCTCTCAACTGGTGACCTAGCCTCCCATCCTTCTCTTCAAACCTTCCCGATTCCGCTCGTCAATCCCTATGCCAATCCCTATGCCAATCTCAATGCCAATCCCAATGCCAATCCCTATGCCAATCCCGCTCTCCCGCAGTACGTCGCGTATCTCCGCGAGCTCTTTGCGCAAGTGCAGCAGGAGTCAAGAGCCTACTCAGCAGGCCGGTCTGCAAGGTACAGTGCAGCTATCAGCAAGGGCAATAGCATTCTGTTTGCCGTTTTCGGGTTAAGAGGCGGCTTTTGAGACGTCTCAATTTCGGGTTAAGAGACGACGTTTGAAGTGCCTCAAAAGAGCACACACAGCAGGCCAGTCGGCAAGGTACAGTGCAGGTGTCAGCAAGCGCAACAGCATCCTGTTTGCAAGTCCTTTTCGTCAATCAGCTTCATGCTGTTTTCCCCACTTGCAGCTTGACTGTTTACTGTAGAGACAATCTGTGTTAGGCTGTTCTGTGGTCCCTTCCTCCAGTCCTACCCTGCTCCAGTCCTACCCTGCTCCAGTCCTACCCTGCTCCAGTCCTACCCTGCTCCAGTCCTACCCTGCTCCAGTCCTACCCTGCTCCAGTCCTACCCTGCTCCAGTCCTACCCTGCTCCAGTCCTACCCTGCTCCAGTCCTACCCTGCTCCAGTCCTACCCTGCTCCAGTCCTACCCTGCTCCAGTCCTACCCTGCTCCAGTCCTACCCTGCTCCAGTTCTACCCTGCTCCAGTTCTACCCTGCTCCAGTCCTACCCTGCTCCAGTCCTACCCTGCTCCAGTCCTACCCTGCTCCAGTCCTACCCTGCTCCAGTCCTACCCTGCTCCAGTCCTACCCTGCTCCAGTCCTACCCTGCTCCAGTCCTACCCTGCTCCAGTTCTACCCTGCTCCAGTCCTACCCTGCTCCAGTCCTACCCTGCTCCAGTCCTACCCTGCTCCAGTCCTACCCTGCTCCAGTCCTACCCTGCTCCAGTCCTACCCTGCTCCATTCCTACCCTGCTCCAGTCCTACCCTGCTCCAGTCCTACCCTGCTCCAGTTCTACCCTGCTCCAGTCCTACCCTGCTCCAGTCCTAGCCTGCTCCAGTCCTACCCTGCTCCAGTTCTACCCTGCTCCAGTCCTACCCTGCTCCAGTCCTACCCTGCTCCAGTCCTACCCTGCTCCAGTCCTAACCTGTTCCAGTCCCAGCTTACAAAACATCCCTTTCTATACAACGCACAATCATTTCTGGTTCCCTTGCCACTGCATTGCGTCCCTTTCTGCAGCCTCCCTGTTTCGGCAGCAGCGCAAGCCCAGGCGGCAAGGGCGGAGGCGTACCTTCAGCGAATCACTTTGTTGGCTGACTTGCTGGAAGAGCACGTGCTGGTAACGAGTTATATGATGTGTATGTTTCATGTGAATTGGATGACTCGTATGATTCTTATGTATCGTACAAATCGGGTCTTTTGCAGTGTTTTTTTCGGTGGCATATAATATAACCCTTCTTACTGGATGACCATGTGCTGGCAGCTGACTAAGCTTCACTGATCAGTCTTGCGATTCCGTTGTGTGTTGTCACTTGCTTCCCGAATCACCAAACTGATATGTCTTCCTGCACCTCATCTCACCAACCACAGCCTGACATGTGGCACATGCCGGACAGCCTGCCTCTTCAGGACGACTGCCAGCTGGACGCCTTGGTACCTCAAGATCCCAACCTATCATCAACCTTCAGAGGAATCAAGCCTGCTCAATCCCATCAGCAGCAGCAGGGAGAAATCGAAGGAGGTGCCTTGCGGGGCTATGTGCCATATTCTGCAGCCTTTGCGGGTGGGCAAGGCAGGGAGGCGTTGGGCCTTCGATCACGCCGCCGCCAGTTGAGGGGTCGGCATGGGTAGGTGCTAGGTGGTGGCCATGATCCGTGATGCCATGCATGCATTCATGCCTTCATTTTTTTTGCTAAGGCGATCCTTCACGCTGCAGCTCTTCTTCATGACCAGTGACCCGTGGCTAGGTGGTGGCCATGATCCGTGATGCCATGCATGCGTACATGCCTTCACTTTTTTTTACTTCATGTAGGTTGTTTGTGCTTCAAAACCCATCGAATTGTTTTTCGGTGCCTTGTGCTGGTTGGTTGTATTTTGAGACGTCTCACAACTTCATCTATTCCTTTTGTGATGGCTTTCCACTGAACTCCGTAGCACTTTCCCATGCATGCATTGTTTGGTCTGTTGGGCAGGCCGACTTCCAGAGATCACCGACCAGGTTCTTCTCTCCCTGGGTCATCCCTGGACGATGCATCAAGAGCAATCATTACAACCCATAAGTAATGCTTTGTAATGTTCTTGCAGCATCACTTGCTTCTTCTCAGCTGATCTCCTTCAAACTTGCTTGCATATTCTCTCCGCAATTTCTACCCTGACCCTCCCCCTGCTTGCACTCCTATCTCGCTCGCTCTTCTCCACCTCGCCTCCCCCCTTTTCGTCCCCCCCCCCCCCCACCTCACTCCCCCCCCTCAACCCCTCCTCCGTTTCTCCTTTTCTTTCAACCTTCCTCACTTTCCTCTCGTTCTCCTTATGTTTGCTTCCTTTACCCACTCGTTGCTCCTTTCTGCCGTCTCTCTTACCTTCCCTCGTCCCTCCAGGAACCTTCAGGAGGAGCTGTCGGATCAGATGCTGACGCTGGCAGGGCAGATGAAGGCCAACTCGCTCGCCATGGAGGAGAAAGTCAAAAGCTCCAATAAGGTGACACGCTGCTGCCATCTCATGGAGTAGTTCTGTTGTCTATGGTTGAGTTGAATGATTACAATGTACTTCAATTTGTTTTGTGCTGCTAATTATAGGGGTATTTATTTTGCTTTTACTGTTTTCATCTTCTTGTGCAGGTTCTTGATGCAACCGAGGAGTCAATGGAGAGAAACGTGGCCAGCCTGAGTTGGGCCAATCAGAGGGCTTCACGGTTGGCCCGGCAGGGATTTTGCACTGGCTTATCGACGTGGCTGGCCATGATCTTTCTTCTTGCCATGTTCGTTGGAATGATTATGTTCATCAGAATGACTTGATAGGTACATATGTATGGGACACTAGCTTTAATAAAGTTAACTGTATAAATTTATCGGTTGCTCATCCAGCAGCTCTAAGATCTGAACTGCATAACGAGTACGTAACGAGTTCATCTCTCGACAGCTTCCAGATACTTTATAGATGGTACACTCTGGTGCTTTCACCGTGAAAGCGATCAGCTATTATTTATTGATCAGCGTGCTTTCACTCTGGTACTTTATTGTGGAAAGCGGTGAAAGCCAAAACAAACATTCACCGTCGTAAACCGCACAGCACGCCTTGTACCCACACCCTCGTGAGGCGTCATCTGCTCTCACGCCAAGCAAGCAGGTGGCTCAGAAGTCGCCACGTGGTGCTGGTCAGGAAACATTAACATTTTTCGATCAGCTATTATTTATCGAACCACATCGGGCTTGACCATTGACCATGGCAGGCGGCGTCGCGCATCCGTACTATCCGCGCGACATCGTGTTGCCTGACTACGTCCCACCAGCGTGGAGCACGGCCGAGCTCTTCGGCGTTTTCGGGGTGGCCGTCGGGGTGATCTTCACCCTCTCATGGCTCTTCGCACGTGAGTTGACGTTTCAGGCGCCTCAATAGGTCGGGTTGATCCTCATCCTCTCATGGCTCTTCGCGCGTGAGTTGACGTTTCAGGCGCCTTAATAGGTCGGGTTGATCCTCATCCTCTCATGGTTCTTCGCACGTGAGTCGACGTATCAGGCGCACGCTTTTTCCGGAAGCAGGTGTTCGCGTCCAGTCCAGCATTTTCTGTCGTCTAGTCAGCAGCCACGCAATTCCGATCTCGCCTGATAAGTCAGATCGTTCCAGCTTCCACCATTCCTCATTCTCCGTCAACCTTCTGATCCTCCCGCCTGTCTCCCATTCTCGCTAATCGGTGTTACAGAGGCTCATCTCTTCGCCTGCTGACCCGTGTTGGTAGCCTCTTGCGCTTTCCCCTCTCATTGTCCTTCAAAGTTCATCACCACCCATTTCAGGCTCATAGTCCCGTCTCATTGTCCTCACCCCCACCCTCTTCTCCCCCCTCCCCCTCCCACCCCCTCTCCCCCACCACTTTCCCCTTTCATCCAGGCTCATGTCGCCATCTATCAGCGTCGGAGCGGTTCACCTTCAGCTGGTGGGCCATGACGGGTGCCATTCACATGCTCATGGAGGGAGCATTTGTCGCCTTCCCCGCCCTCATCAGCAGCACCAGCAAGGCCTTCCTCCTCGATGCCTGTACGCACGCCTAATTGTTTTCCATTCGCCTACTCTCCCATTGACCTAATTTCTCATTTTTCCACAGTAGCCTAGTCTCCCATTTCACATTAGTTCTCCCCCTGTCCGTGCCCGTGCTGTGTCTTAACCCACTCTTAAACCCTTTCCTTTTTTTCAACCATTCCTTAATGCACTTTTGGATGAGGTTTAAATAATTACTTCGCCTCCTTTCTGCCCTGCTCTTCACTTCCATGCAGGGAAGGAGTACGCCATATCGGATTCACGATATGCCACCCGTGACACCTGCATTGTCTCTCTCGAGGCAGTCACTGCCTTCATCGAAGGCCCTGCCTGCATCCTCATTCTGTGAGTGCTGCTTACAGCTGCTCCTCCTTACGCTTGTTTCACTTAGCCTTTTTTGCCCAACTGTCTATGGGACTTAGACAGCTTCAATGCTTTTGTGGGTTCATCCTTCTGCATGCAGGTATGCCATCGCAGCCAGGAAGCCCTTCAGCAATCTGCTGCAGTTCACGGTGTCTCTTGGGCAGCTGTACGGAGCAGCTGTGTACTTTGCCACGAGCTACTTGGAAGGCTTTCCCCACTCAGACCCCCATCCGATCTACTTTTGGGGCTATTTTGTTGGCATGAACGCCATCTGGATTCTGGTGCCGTTTCTCATTCTCTGGCGCTGCTGGGCGCGCATCATTTCAGCAGAGGCCTCAATCATGCAAGCTTCAAGTTCTCGGAGGTCCAAGAGGGACTGAATATCATATAAAAATTTCTTGTAGGGACTGAGGCATTATGGCAAGGGTGTTGGGAGTTTACACCATGATGCCTGATATTCAGAAAACACTTGTGCAATGCCATGCTAAGCTCCAGTGTTACGTATATATTGTTTGGTACAGAATATGGAATGTTAATATCAAGTCTCGAGTTTAACGGTGTCATCCTGGAACTTCCAGAAGTTTGAACGAAAAATCTGCTTGTTGATTGGTTGTTTTGGGTCTGACCCGCAGCCCTGTCAGAAACGAAGTGGCAATCGAGGCTCTCTGAGCCACACGTATTTCCACGCAGGAGATTCGAGAGAGATTCACCCTCCGCGCCACGTGCGAGAAAGACATTCTCCACGCACCAAGCACAGAGCATCACACACACACTCACAAAACAGTATTTCTAGCAGCTGATGCACATTCCGCGGTTTTGTTTGCTCATGTTTCACACTTCCTTCTCCTGGCGTCCCGCTCCCTCGCAGATGCATGTCCCGTTCGCTGTGGAGGGACGCGTGGCGGGAGAGACGGTGAGAAAGTCGAGCACGTGTGCCTCGCCTTTCCTCACTTTCTTGGGGAAGGGAAGAACCGAGGACGGTGAGTTCGTGGCGTGCCTCAAAAGTCAACTCGTCTACGAGGATCCGACCCAGCAACGTGAAACACCCAGGATCCAGGAGGACTAGGAGACTGTGTTGCAGATTGAGATTCTTTCCGTCGACTCAAAGATCGCAGGAGGAGGAGAAGGAGGAGGGGACTGTGCTGCAGATCAAGGAATCGCAGATTGTGATTCGTTCAGAATCACACTGGAACAGGAATTGCAGACATGGCCAGCGAGTGCGGTTTCCGAGCCGATCCCGGAGACGAATCCGGGGATCCGCTACGCAGCAGTCGCATCAGCAGCAGCAGCACCAGCGTTGGTCTCGAGGAGACGCTTCTATTGGCTGGCGACGCCCCTTCCTCCGCTGCTCTCGACGAATCACAAACCAAGCTCAGAACAAAAAGAAAGAAATCCAAGCACGCGCGAGAGCGCACAAGGCGGCGCAAGTCCGCTCTGGCCCTTGGGAACTGCGATGAACAACACGCAGCAGATTCAGATTCCCGTTATAAAGCTTCTCAATACAAGCACTCTGCGCCTCTTCCGCATCGAGTCATTCAGCTCGTGAACGCCCTCCAGGCTGCCCTCTCTCCGAGACTTCCCTCGAAGGTTCCTCATAAGGCGACTCTCTTCGCGCTTTACGTCTCTCATTTCCTCTCCCGATGGACCAATCGCATGTGGGAATTCGCGGTGCCGCTCTTTCTCCTAGACTCCTCGTACACTGCCACGTCAGCTTCCTCTTCCTCCTCTACAGTCACCTCCGGTAGTAGCGCCGGATCAGCCTCTTTGCTCCTCGTGGCGCTTTACGGACTTTCCGAGTCGCTCGCGATGTCTTTATTCTCCGTCCCCATAGGAACGTGGGTGGATCTTTGTCCGCGTTTACCACTAGCTGCCTTCGCTATCTCCGCTCAAAATGCCGCTCTGTTTCTCGCCGCGATTGCCGTCGCCGCTCTCCTCTACCTCGCCGACTTTCTCGCCGCACCCGCCGCCGCAAGTTCCGCTGGGCCTGATCTTTTCGCATGGGTGACCGGAGCAGCCGAAACGGGAGCTGACGTGGCGCTGGTGGCGGCGGTTTGCGTGCTGGGCGCTGCGGCTGCTCTCGCTGGATTGGCGCGCGGGATCGCGGTGGAACGTGATTGGGCAGTGGTGATTGCGGATTGGGTTTGCGAGCAGGAAGGTGCTGCGAATTTGAAAAGGGGATGTGGGCGGCAGGGGGGATGGGAGGACAGGGGGCAAGACGAAAGGGAGAGAGGAGGGGGAGTAGTGGAGGTGGTGGTGGGAAATGAGGAGGATGCGACTAAAACGCAGGTGCCGTTCGATAACGGGGAGGCTTGTAGCGAATCAGCGCGGCGGGAGAGAGAGGAGGGGGGGAGGGACGGGGGGGAAGAGCATCACTTGCGGACACACGTTGTAGAAGAGAGTGGAGTCAGCGAAGCAGGGGGGGGAGGGGATGCGGACGCTAATTGCCGGGACAAGGCAGCGCAGACACAGGAGGTTCTGACTGTGCAGCAGCAGGGGCAGCAGGAGGGGAGGGAGGGACAGCAGAGACAGGAGCAAGAGCAGCAGGGGAGGGAGCAGCGGGAGCGCGTGCGAGCGCGGCTCAACTCCACTCTTCGCACCATCGACCTGCTCTGCCGCCTGCTCGCCCCGGCCGTCACTGGCGCCCTCATGGCCGCTGCTGTCTCTGCATCCACGTCCGCCTCCGCCTTCGCCGCCTCCCCCTCCGCCACTCCCCCTTCCGCTGTTGCATCTCCAGCGTCGCCCGCACGTCACGAGTTACTGCCCGTGTCGCTGCCGCTCGCCATGGCAGTGTGGGTCCTCGTGGCCGCTGCTGCAGAGCTGCTGCTGCTGGCGCTTGTCCACTCGCAGGTGCCCGCGCTGGGGGAGAGGCGCAAGGAGAGAGCAGGGGAGGGAATGGTGGAGGACGAAAGGGCTGGTGAGAGGGAGAGAGAAAGTGAGGGAGGGGAGGAGGAAGAGGTGGAAGAAGAGGAGGACGAGGAAGCGGAGGAGGAAGAGGAGGAGGAGCAAGGGAGAGGGAGAGGGGTGGGGCGTGGAGGGGATGATAAGTATGGAGCGTTGGATGTTAAGAGTCGAGTGAAAGCACAAGGGGATAATGGGAAGGAGCATGAGGGAGGGGATGGGCAGATGCTGGTCCCTTCAGCAGCTAATCCAACCCCACCTGCTCCCATCACCCCTTCAGACTCCCCAGCCGCCCCTATCATCACCACCACCACTACCACCAGAAGCAGCAGCAGCAGCGAGCCTCCCCTCATCCCCTCCACCGCCCACAACCCTTCCTTCTTAAACCACCTGCTCTCCTCTCTCCACCACCTCCGCCTCCTCCTCACCTCCTGGCTGACCACCCTTGGATCCGCCTGGACAGTTTACCTCCGCCAGACCTCCCTCTTCCCCTCCCTCGCCCTTGCCCTTCTCTACCTCACTGTCCTCTCCTTCGGATCTCTCATGTGCGCCTATCTGCACTCCCAAGGCGTCCCTCTCGGTCTCCTAGGCTCGGCAAGCGGAGCCGCGGCTGTCACCGGCGTGCTCGGGGCAACCCTCTTTCCGAGCCTCTGCGCCAGGCTCGGGCCGAGCAGGACGGCCGAGGCTTCCGTGTGGTCCCAGCTGACATGCCTCCTGCCGTGTGTCGTCGCGGGATTGGTTCTCCAGTCGTCGGGGCCAATCCCAGCAGTGCTGCTGATGGCAGGAGTGGTATTGTCAAGAGCTCCTCTCTGGGTGTTTGATCTGTCTGTGCTTCAGATGGTGCAGGGGGCGGTAGTGGAGGAGGAGAGAGGCGCGGTGGGGGGAGTGCAGGAGTCGTTGCAGCAGGGAATGCAGCTGGTAGCGCTGGTGCTAGCTGCGGTGATCAGCAGGCCGAGGGATTTTTGGGTGCTGACGACGGTGTCGGGAGGGGCTGTGATGCTGGCTGCGGTGCTGGTGAGTGTGGATCGTAGGCTGAGGGGAATCTTGAGACGAATCAGGAGAGGTGGTTGGCAGAGGCAGGCCGAGGGACTCATGGGAGTTGACGGCAGGGCTGGGAGTGGCGCAGGTGCAGATGAGGTTTAGGGGTGCTGAACGCTCACTGGATGGACTACATGGCTACCGTATCCACTTCAGATATAGTTGCACGTGTGCTGGTCATTTTTATGTATTTGTATCTGTGTACATAGGAGTCAACGACACGCAACGAACGATGGTGGTGGGCCGGTGGCATGGCATGGCATGCCATTCTTACTGCAATACATGTGTGGTTAATTCACATGAATGGCATGAAAGCATTACACACGAGGCCATCCAATGTGTCATGAATAACCCCCCCCTTGATGTACCTACAACCTTTGTTATAAATACCATATGGTTTGTATACATGAAATTTTTCGAAAGTGTGTAACACTTTCTTAAAATGCGTATTGTGAAAGCGCATCTGACTTTAGCGCAGCAAGGTAACTACGAATTATGGTACCATTCGCCGAATATATAAGAGGGTTGGAGGCCATTCGGCCTTGTTACGCATAGCAATGAATGAAGATTACAGTGCACTCCCGACCGCAGCTAAAGGAGCATGCAGTATCGAGAACGAACGTGAAGAGTCATAATTGACTCGATGCGTCAGACGGTTGAGATGCATCTGGACCGTCGGAGCAGATGGCATCGGGCAGCTGCAGGCAGAAAGATTCTGGCGGGAACAGTTTCGTAACTGTACGCGCCGCACGGTTGGGAATGAATTTGAATAAGGGAATGTACCCCTTAGAGTACATGGCTAGCTAGGTCGATTCGTATTCCGCTGTACTCTTATTTATATCGTTGTATTTGCATGTTTCCATTATCTCGAGCATTTTACATTCACTCTGCTATTGAGGTCAAGGGCCCACCACTACTAGACTACAAGTGTGCGAACCCTCCAGAGGTGATCCTGGTTACGATCTATTGCTGATCGCAGCATGGTATGAGAGCGACTCAGGAATCTTTCGCACTACCACTCCCGAAAACTACGACATTCGGAAAGTGGCGTCCGGCACACGCTCGCGTCTAAGAAGCCGGAGGATCTGGTGGTGAGACCAATCTGACGGCTGAAGCGCAACCCAACCCGGCTGCGACAAGCAAGGGAACGACGACGATCGGCACCGAAGTGTCAGAATGTTATTATTGTCTAGCCTACAGTAGGGTACTCTATAGCGAGTACAACCCAGATTAGGGTTTCCTATCAGGGCCTCAGATTCGTTTTAGGGTACCCTGAGCACTCAGGGTCCCTTGGAGGTGTAACACTGATCTTCAGTGTTGCCTGCTTAGAAACACTGATTTTTCAGGGTTACAAGTAAAAAAAAAACACTGATCACACAGGGTGCCTTTTCAAAAAACACTGATAGAATAATTAAAGAAGGGGTGCAGGCCCGGTCGTGATGTGGAGAGCATGAATGAACGAGACCCCCTGCGGCATGGGTCGGCTGGTCGAACCGCACAACCACGCCCTTGCGTGGTGAATCTGATCTGATGCCACCATTCACCACTGGTCCACTCTGGATTTGTGCGCAGCGAGGCCAAGAATGACAAGTGTTGGCAGAAGTCAGAGTCAACGAAGCATTGAAACACCTGGAACAGCCAATCAAATAGCGCCTTTGCGCAAACACTGCCCAAAATTGAGCCGCAGGGTGGCGTCGATCCTCGTTGGGTACACCCTCTTTCTCACCTCTCTCACCGGCGGAAGCACTGGCTACAGTGTTTGGACGTAGCGGGCTAGTGAGATAAGTCGGTTGCGGGCAAAGTCGCACGAGGGTTTGAAACACGCCTTGGGCCGTTAAAAAGCATTAACGTTGAATAACCGTCCCGACCGCTTTGAAAACAACAGTACCATTGTAGAACGTAGAAAACCTTGACTAAACGCCCTGGGTCAAATTGTCAGTGTAACGCATGTGATAGGACCTTCTTTGGTCCGGTGTGGCTACACTAAGCGTCTCTGTCAGTATAACATATGCCAGTTTATCGAGAAAAAGGGTGTACATGAATGATGACGGCGCGCCAATATGCGAGAAACACGGAGTTTCGGTTTCAGGGTCAACCCCGATACAACACTGACTCGTCAGTGTCTGCAAACACAAAACACTGAAAATTCAGTGTTCTACAAAATAAAACACTGATCCATCAGGGTCGCTAAAAAAAAAAAGGCTGATCCATCAGGGTCGCAATAAAAAACAAGGGTCAAACTTCAGGAATTCAGGGTAAAATTCCTGACATCTGAGGCCCTGTTTCCTATATGTATCCCAACTGCTGCTAGTGCAAACCCTCCTTTCTTCATTTCTGCTTCTGCCTGCTAGTTCTGACATGCTATCAGAGCAGGTCGACCCTCCTGGGTCGATCCTGTGGGTGGGCCCCACCCGATGCTTCCGCTGCTCTACTGCTGTCGCGCGCCCCGGGCGCGCGACCCTTTCTTCCTGCCGCGCACTCGGAGCGCGCGGCATTTTTCATCCCGCCGTGCGCTCGGGGCGTGCGGCGGGCGCACGGCGGTTTCCTGCTTCGCGCGGCGGTTTTCTGCCCGTCGTGGCGCCCTCGGGGACCTGCGCGCTGCCCCCTGTCGCCCGTCGCGGCGCCCTAGGGGCCCGCGCGTCACCCTCCTCCCGTCGCCTCATCGCGGCGCCCTGGGGGCCGGCGCGCCGGCCCCTCCCGTCGCCTCGTCGCGGCGCCTTGGGGGCCTGCGCGTCCCCCCCTCCCGTCGCCTCGTCGCGGCACCTTGGGGGCCCGCGCGTCGCCCCCTCCCATCGCCTCGTCGCGGCGCCTTGGGGGCCCGCGTGCCGCCCCCTCCCGTCGCCTCGTCGCGGCGCCTTGGGGGCCCGCGCGCGGCCCCTCCCGTCGCCCGTCGAGCCGCCCTCAGGGGCCCGTGCGCGGCCCCCCTCCCGTCACCCGCCGTGGCGCCCTCGGGGGGCCCGCGCCCTGCTCCTTCGTGGCGCCCAGGAGACCCCCCCGCCGCCTCCCTTTCCCTCCGTGAACCGCCCCTGCTGCTTCCCGCGCTCCTGCCTGCGTTAGGGTTTGGGGGTGGCGGGCATGGGGGTGACCGGTGTGGGTAACCTGCAGCTCCTCCTCCTCCTCCGTCTTCCACTGCTGCAGCTGCCGCTGAGGGGGGTGGGTGTGTGGGAGCCAGGGGTTTAGGGTTTAAGGGGGGTGACGTGGGAGTGGAGCTAGGGGTACAGCAAGGGGTGTGTGAAAGGGGGGTGGGTCAGTTGGGGGAGGTTGAGCGGAGGCTGCCGTCTTGTCGTCCGCAGCACCTGTAGTCCGGGGCACTGTCCTGGTAGCCCAGAGAGCCTGCTGCGCCTGTCGCCCGTGGGTCCGTTGCTTCTGCCGCTCAGAGTTAGCCGCAGAGCCAGTTACTCTAGTAGTCCGGGGCGCTGTCCCGGTAGCCACTGTGCCAGCCGCTCCTGTTGCCCATGTGTCTGCAGCTTTAGCCGTCGCCTCCCATCTCCTCTCCTTTCACAGTCCAGCCTCCTCCTCCTCACGTGCCCGTTGTGAATGCCTCTAGCTTTGCTTGCCCTTGTGAACCTGCTCTATGACTGCTTGCTCTGCTGATTATACCCCACTTTGACTATGGGGGTGTGTCAGAATGTTATTATTGTCTAGCCTGCAGTGGGGTACTCTATAGCGAGTACAACCCAATTAGGGTTTCCTATATGTATCCCAACTGCTGCTAGTGCAAACCCTCCTTTCTTCATTTCTGCTTCTGCCTGCTAGTTCTGACACGAAGTCCTCGCACAACTTCTTCAGCGACTCACCAGCTTGGAGCAAGGGCTCCAAACATTGCGGAACGGCGACGCGGGAACATCCTCGCAACCTTCTCAACCAGCCCCAACTGGCTAGAACGCTGCCCCGCACACATTCTCCCTCGACATAAATGGTTCAACCCCCAAGACTCCCCGTCCCAGTGAAGAGGCAATTCTCTCTGCGCAATCAAGGTTTCTCAGCATATAAAAAATAAAGACAAGTGTGTGTTTCGACGGCAGAGATTTCTATACCTGGAGCTTCGAGCTGGAGCTCCTGCTGCAGAACGCTCAGATTTTTCATTATTTCGATGGGAGTTACGCGGAGCCCGCTGAGGACACCGACGACGCCAAAGCAAGATATTACAACGAATCTCTGATGGCGTACGGGGTGCTCCTGCGGAACATGTCGCCGGCGGAGCAATTGAGCATCCGCTCATACAAAACATCGGCCGCTCCAGCCCTCAACGCCTGGCGCCATCTCAACGGCGTGTATCAGCCGAAGGACTCAGTCTCTTCGAGCCGGCTGCTTCAGCAGCTACTGGAAACTAAAATGGCCCCAGGGGAGAAGGCCAGCAGCTACATCAATCGCTGTCGGAGCCTTCGCGACCAAATCGTGAAGCTGGGAAGCTCGATCTCGGAGGAAATTTTCGTTAATATCGTGCTTCAAGGGCTCGGCCCAGAGTGGCGGCCCTGCAAGGCGCTTCTCCGACAGCAGGGGGTCATCTCGGAGGCCGCCCTTTGCGCCGCCCTTCTCGTCAAACAGAGGGATATGGATCAGCAGCGACCAGCGCCGCGACGAGAACGTGAACGGCTCGCCTTCTACGCCGACAACAACGAAGAGTGAAGACCGCGGCGCCTCTACTGCAAAATCTGCAAAAACTTCGGGCATTTGGCGGATCGATGCAAGTCCCGATCTCGCCTTGGCCAGACCAATCCGAGTAACTGGTCCGGCTGACAAGACGCACAAGGCGACGTACGTCCAGCCCAGGGGTATCAACCCCCACCCGCGCGCAACCTGAACCCAGCGGTTCAGCATCAGCAGTAGCAGCCGTCATCGACTGCCCCAGTACGCAACGTCATGAGCAACATGGCCATGACAGGCGAGTCGCGTCGTCGCCGCGTGCGCTCACCTTCACCTGAGCCAGCACCGCACCCCATTGGCGCGTTCTCCAACAACAACCCGTTCAGTCCGCGCCGCGACTTCACCGACGACGACGACCAGGACTGGAATCTTCCAGTCCCGCTGCTTGAAAGTCCCCCGCACGTACTTGACATGCGGGTGGCGCCACTCGACTAGCTGTCGCGCGAGCAATTTCTGAA